CCAATACTTCTATCATAATTCTATGGCAAAATAATGAGATACATGCATTTGAAAAAATGTACACATATTTCTATAAGTCCAGAAACATTAGTTTTGTACATTTATGTCAGATATATGCTTCCTTGCAGGTTGGGATCCTAGCAGACAAGTTTGGCCGCAGGAGATTATGCATTGCATATAGTTTTCTTTATGCCATCTCATGCCTCACCAAAGCTTCCCCAGTGTTCTCCGTTTTGATGATAGGACGTATTCTGGGTGGAATCTGCACCTCCATCTTTTTCTCAACATTCGAAGCATGGTATGTTCACCAGCACAGCCAGAAATTCCACTTTCCACATCAGTGGATCAACTTAACATTGGCTAAAGCAACGTTTTATAATGGTGTTCTTGCAATTTTTGCTGGTGTTGTGTCAAACATTGCTGCAGAATGGGCCCAGTTTGGTCCTCTCTCTCCATTCATGATTGCAGTACCCTGTTTTTTAATATCAGCATTTGTAACAATGTACATGTGGGAGGAAAATGACATTAAATCTACCTACGCTCTTAATTACAGTTGTGCTTCACTTGAAGCTATTTTTAGAACACGAAGTAGTTCAGTTTTATGTTTAGGAATAATCCAATCACTCTTTGAATCAGTGATGTACACTTTTGTGTTCCTTTGGACACCAGCCCTTGAACCATTAAGGCCTCCACTAGGGATTGTCTTCTCATGTTTCATGCTTTGTATCATGATTGGTTCATCTATATATTCATTCCTTCTAGCACGAAATTGCTTGGCAGAACATCTGCTACGTATGTCATTTTTCCTTGCTCTTGTTGCCATAATCCTGTCAGCTGGAGCAATGAAAATGGTCTCCTTATATCCACAAGATACAGGAAAATATACATTAGTTGCTTTCTTTGCTTTTCTCCTATATGAAGTTGCTGTGGGAATGTACTTCCCAGCAATAGGGTACCTTCGAAGTCAGATAATTCCAGAACAATTCCGAGCAAGCATAGCAAATTGGTATCGTATTCCTATGAATATGTTCACCTGTTTAAGTCTTCTTTGGTTTAAGAACAGTGTACACAGTGACAAGGAATTTTCTTTTAATAC